TACCCATAACAATAAGGAAACTTCAATCCAAAAAGAGATCACTCTGGAGGAAAAATAAATCTGGTCACGTTGCCAACTTCAAAAGCCAATACAAAAATTTATGCCACCAGATAAAGACTGAATGCACCAATTATCACATTAAACAAGAGGAAAACCATCTATGCACCAATTCTACTCGTGCTTTTTACAATTTTGTAAACAACAAACTAAAAGACTCAAGGTCCATCCCATTCCTGATAGGACCTAATGGTAAAGACTGCAATGACGACACCATTAAAGCCAACATCTTTAACACATTATTTGGCTCAGTATTTGTAAACAGCAACGGATCATGCCCAGTATTTCCTAGCCGAACCACAGAAAATTACAATGATCTAATACATATCGATTTTACAGAAGACAATGTTGGAAAAGCACTACGCAATCTAAAACCATCTCCTATCTATTGGACTGGACGGAATATTTGCCTACTTCTTAAAAAAGCTATCCACTGCCATAGCCTAACCTCTAAGCATAATCTTTGAAAAATCTTTCTGGACTAGTTCCTTGCCTAACCTATAGTCACAAGCCATGGTCATCCCCATCTTCAAAAAGGGAGACCTCAGCCTAGTTGAAAATTACAGACCAATATCCTTATGCTGCGTCACCTGTGAAGTCATGGAATCAATTACTTGAAGGAATTTACAATGTTTTTTTTAGACATACTGGATTTTTGACCATTATTCCAGGAGTTATACTTCCAAATATAGATGGGCCAAAATGAAAAAAATAGAGAATCCGAAGAAAAAAATGAAGTTGAATCCAACTGTTCAAGGATGATATTTGTTACTTTGATTCTAAGTCATACATTTCCATCTTATTAGAAGATGATTGTTTGGATGACACTTCAGAGAGTAATATGTTTTAACTCCATGGTGTGCTTTTGTTTATTTGTTTGTTTGTTTGGGGGTGGATGAATAAAAACTTTAAATTATATTGGTTTGATTTCTAACTAAGCCATTATGCTATTTTACTGATTCTTATGTCTTTAAGTTAATTTTACAGAGTCAACAGTAGCAAACAATTTAAGACCATAGATTTTGATGGGATTTAACTGTGATTTACTTAACTCAATTGCTCGTAAATTCTGAGCTTTTTA